AATTACTTTAACTGATAACTACTTACAGATGTTAAATCAAAGGGTGCTCCCAAGACAAGATGTACTGGAAAACAAAAAAAAAAAAAGAATATTCTCCCTGTAAATGGCACAAAAAAACCTTCCTTGTTCCTCATTTAACAACTAAATCACACCAATAACTGGTTGCAAAATGTACAGTATAGCCTAAAATAAATAAATAAGACAGGTAAACCATTATGCAATAAAAAAATTGTGAGTACATTAAACAAACAACTCAAGATATGCATACCTCCACAGACAACTGCATGTTGAAGTGAATTTGAAGATGACTTATTAAGTTGACCAGTTTGGCTGGCTTAAACATGCTGGTCAAGCAGAACCAAAATTGCTGGTAATTGCTGTAACACTTGTTGCACTGCTGCAGCTCAGATAATGTGTCAACTCTCTTCTGAATCCTTATATGTCTCTCTGCAAGAGATGAAGCCACCCACAATTATCTCAATGATGACACATTGGATTAAAATAACTAAACTACAAGGTAATATTAACACACAAACACTGCATATAACAGAGGGAATTAAAGCAAACTATTTATTTTTATGAATAATAAACGTCTTCAAAACTTCACCACAAGGCCCATTTACAGCATGCATCCGAAAATTAATCGAAACATCCACAGAAAAAAGTTATATACTATAAAGTATGACAACAAATTCAAGTTTCAATATAAGATAATAAAGCCAAGCACACATTAAGTACTTAGCAGATAAATGCCTAACGTAATATATACGATAATTATCAAACATATGATAGCGAAAACATTACAGAATACTCACCGTGCTCTCTCGTTGTCAATAACTCCGCCCCTCACTTCCGGTTCTGTGGTTGCGGTTCTGTGGCTGCAGTTCTGAAACTGCTGGTGCTGCGGGTCTGCAGCTGGATATATCGCTGTCTGAAGCATACATTGAAAAAACACCAACAACACGTTGCCCGGCGACAGCCCATGACATCACTACCGGTGCGATTATAGTATAAATAGGCGCCGGGAGAACATGTCATTCACTTCTTCGTCTGAAGCTTGCGTTCGAAGCATGGCAGGAAGCCTAGAGGACGCAGTGTCTCGTTCCCTACTCAGGGAACCATGGTTACATAAGTAACCTGAGACGTTCCCTTTCAAAGGAACTTCGAACTGCGTCCTCTAGGGGTCGCTATGGGGAACAATATACCCACACCGCCATGCTGAGGGGAGTGCGGGCCAGAACCATGGTGAGCACTAAGTACCAACTTTACCATTTTCATGGTGAGTTGCCCCTGGGACGGCTGTCCGTGACTTTATCCCCTACGGCCAAAGGCCTAGGCTACATACCCAACTTACCTGTTAGGGCCAGACTCCTTGGCCCGGAGTAGAGCTCAAGGCTTGGAATCATAATGGATTCCTTTAAGGGGATACGACCAAGAACCTAGTATCACACTAAGTCTTGGCCTGTCACACAGGGGCTACTGCTTGCTCTTGCATAAGCTCTGAAAGGAACTGTCTCAACAGACCTCTAGTGGCCACACCCTGTTAAAGTAGGTATCCTAGGATACCTAAGTGGAGTGGTGCCCAAGGTGAACGGGGCTTAAACCAGCTCAAGAAAGGGCACGAAGCAACCGCGCGAAGCACTCACCATACAGGATTTTAGAAAAGAACACAAAGAACTAGCGTGCGAACTTACCACAATGTGGATTTTAGAAAGTGCACAAAGCTTTCATATGCATACTTACCATAACATGGACTTTAGGATACCGTTCTAAGGGGGCTCTCGTGGCACTCTGAAAGAG